CACGAAACCCGAAGTGATGGCTCAAAGTGACGGACAAAAGCTTAGCACCTTTTCACCGGAATCGAAGAAGATTGCCTCGAAAACAGTGTCAGCAAGAATCTTCCAGTAAAGCCGAACGAAGCTGGTCAAGAGGAATCGGCCCTTGTCTTCTGGTGGAACCGACCTTCGAATCTCTTCACCTCCAACACGTTCACTCGAAATGGAAGTAAGCTCAACATTCAGTCTCTGTACTAGGCTACAATTCGTCAAAATGCACAAGCGAAACCAATCCCTTGTACAGCCTTCTGTCGAACAGGTATGCAGAAAGAGGAGTGATAGCAGATAGTTGCTAAGACGATCGACTTGATTCGTCTCTGCCGCGTTGTAGTCTAGCGGTGAGAACGACAGCATGCATTAACAATGCAGGCGAAGCGTCTGAAAATGTACCAAGTCTACGAGCCGACGCTGAGAATTATGACAACTAATATAGCAGAAGACTTAGGACAAGATGCGTCAAACTCAGTAGCCCTGGCAACACGACCAAATTGCGGAAAATAGATCAGATCACTTCTATGCATTAAAAGGAGACTGCTACCAAAATAGAGGGCATAGCATCTAGGTTTTCATGTCTACATTCCAATTTTCTGCTTTTGCACTTTTTTCAGTAATACATACGTAAACTATTCCCTTGACATCCTGGTTGAGCTAATTTGCTTATCAAATAGATTACATGAACAATCCAAGGATATATAAAGACCAAGACCATGTGGCCTCTGGTATGGTCGCAGTCTCCATTCGATTCATAGAAGTGGGTTGACCTTGTCGTCGCAACTTGGTCTTGTTGTCAGGGCGACTTAGTAGAAAGCACCTAGTCCTAAGTCGTCTGCCATAGCAGTTGTCATGATACCCAGCATCTGACAATGGAATTGATACATTCTCAAACGTTTCGTCGGCCTCTTTGTCGGCATCATCAGTGATTGATACCATTTTTAGCACCAAGTTACGAACTCGTCAAAGAGACAAGTGAAGTCAGTTCCTCGACCAACATTCAGCCGAAAACGGTCACACTATCACTCCACTTTCTATCATGGCCTATGTATCCACTCTTCACCCTCTTCTCCCGCTGCAGCTCTATCAGAACTTCCCACTTTTTTACATTCAACTCGTCAAAATGAGGAATTACATACAGCTCTAAACTATCCTTGGCTTATAGAAGTGGTTTGATCTGGTTATCGAAACTTGGTCTTGTTGCCAGGCCGACAGAGTAGAACTTACCTAGTCCGAAGTCGTCTGCCATAGTGGTTGTCATGATGCCCAGCATCAGACAGTAGACTTGGTACATTCTCAAACGTTTCGGCGGCATCGTTGTCGACATCATCAGTGATTGATACCATTTTCAGCACCAAGTTACGAAGTCATCTAAGAGACAAGTGAACTCAATCCCTTGACAAATGTTCTGCCGAAAACGGATGTTGGGAATCATGG